GATGTGATGGGTCAGATCAACTAACAGGTTGTGGGCACCCATGATAGCCTGGGATGCTGTTTGGACATCTACAAGCCATCCCAGCCTGATTGGGTAGGTATACAACAAAAGACTACATCATAGATGGGCTCCATATCACACCAAAAGCAGTCGAGAGCACACCTTCTTGTGATGCACTCTTCTGGTTTCCTTTGTAGTTGGATGCTATGCTAGAAGCCCTCCAAATGAACTTCTAGCTGAGAGCCTGAACTCTGTCCTTTAATGACTTGGCATTTGTGCAGCGTGAATGCTAAGCAATGCCATCTCCAACATGAAATAATCTAACCTTTGCCACTCAACATCCAGTGGCATTACCATCACCAACCACCCCCCCCCCGGGATTAAAATATTGGGGGTTACCACTGTCCAGCGAATGAACTGCACCAGCTATACAACTGCTGTAGCTGCAGGAGCAGGTCTGAGGCTGAGAATTATGTGGCAAGTAATTGACCTTCGGACTCTAGGCATATTTCACCATTGCCTTAGAGTACTGCAACAGTTTACCTCAAGAAGGATATAGTTGCATTGGGAGATTTCTGGGCTGCTTTCTAGGAGGAAGTGATTGTCTTATGAGGAAAAGATGAGCAGGCTGGGCCTATATTCATTGGAGTTTAAGATAATGAGCACTGATGCTATTTAAAACATATCAGGTTCTGAGGAGAGCTTAAAAGGGGAAGATACTGAGAGATTTCTCCTTTTATGGGGGAATTTAGAACTAGGGCCACAGTTTAGAAATAGAAGAATTTCTTCTGTCAAAGGTTCACTAGTCTTTCTTCTCTTTGTAGAAGAGAATTCCAAAGTTCAACCAGTGAATATATTCACGGCAAGTTACAGATTTTTGATTGACAAGGGTGTTAAGGGGACAGGCAGAACAGTGAAGTTAAGGCTAAAATGGTAAGTAGGCTCAGTCGGCCAAATGGTCTGTTCCAGTTCTATTTCTATGATCTGATGACCTTAAGAAAAGGGAATATGACTTTTTTTTTAATACTCTGGCAGACAAAGGATTGATTTTACTTCATTCAAGGGACAATGATTGTGATGTGCTCCTTCTACAATGAATACTTGGAATTTAGTTTTCCAGAACTGCGTAGTTTCTCTTCCTCTTTTGCAGTTTGAAACTTCAATGACTTTGTCAAGTGATTTCTCAATGTTGATCATAATGTTCCCCAAACAGTTCCACTTCTGACCTCTGCCCTGGATCATAATCCAAGTTTCAACGAGCTGAATCAGAGTCAACTGATTTGTATGTTGTCATAATTCATTTGTGCTAAACCAGAGACCTTGGAAAAGCTGATTCAAGCGCCAACAGCTGTTGCCTCACCAACAAATAAGGAGGAACTGGCACTTATACAGTCACAAACTCAGGATAATGATTAAATTTCCATTGTATTTCACTGTTGTAATCCAGGAAGTGTAGCAGTCACATTATGCACATTAAGCTCCAACAGTCAGCCATAAGACTTTTAGTTGTGTTGCTTGAAGTATAAGTGCTTCCCAAATACCAAGGAAAAGTCAACCACTTTTAATTATAAAAGTGCTATTCAGTCTTTCATGCTAACTTAACAGGGGTCTTGATTAACGTTTCATCTGAAAGACTGTGCACCAACGGAAGTGTTAGCCTGCATCTTTGATTTGATTAGTTTCAATTGTGTAACTTTTGTTAGGAAATCTCAAACTTCCCCCTAAAGTTGGAGAATTTGTAATCAGTGCTTCATCATGCAGACAAGATCTGGAATTTCATCAACAAGCTCCAAGTTAAATACTAATTTGAATTGTCTTGATTCTTGTGAAATTGGACAGTGAATGTTCACAGTCTGTAAGGCTTCCTATTTCCTCAGCCCTACTGGCCAAGCTCGTGCAGACAGGCTGTGTCACCAAATTTGACATTGGTGTTGACCTATGCATGTCTGTGCATTTAACAAAAGAACTGGTGGTTGGCACATTGGCCTACTTCCATGCTGTACCATTCTATGATTAACCTATTCAAGCAATCCAAGCACTGAGATTCCTATGGTTTAGCTGTCTCTATTATATTCAGGACATCACATTATACAGAGAGTAGCAGCAGGAAATTCAGCAGTCCCCTCTAAAATTGTCCTACAAACCTCCCAGTCAACGTACTATGAAGAACACAGCAATTCTGTATACTGAATCTCCAGAATCAGCTGGGTTATATACAAGCTGTAAAGGAACAGACAGGTGTGAGAGCCCTGCTATCTTCATTTATTGTACACAGTAAGCATGTGCTCAAACAATACTGCTGATGAGTAAAATAATTTTGCAAGTTTTAGTTCCTTCTCAGCTAAACCGCTGTCATTCATAATATTTTGCAAGGTGGCAACTTTTTTGCTGAATAATTGAAAATGTTCTTTTAGTTGGGTCACCCAGGCCTTTTGACTGTATCTTTCCCAATCAGTGTGTATTTCTGTTTCTGTTCCTGTTCCTGTTCCATTGTATGGATTTTGCTGTAAGCATAATGGTGAACGTCATTAACATCCCATGACACACAAGTGGTACCACAATTTCAGGCAAGGGCCAGACAAGCAATTAAATTATTAACACTTTGTCTGTCTGGAAGGCATTACTCTGCTGTCATGTGACACTGATACAGAATCTCTCGCCTTTCCTCATTATTGAAATATATTGAATAGCAGGCAGTTACTATGTTTGAGTAGGTATGCATTAGATTCTCAAAAGAAAATTTTTAAGGTATTTTTAAATCGACCTGTTCAGTGATGTTATTACACACCACTGAGCCAGGAGGCCTGAGTTCAAGTCCTGCCTGCTACAGAGGTAAGGATATTAACACTACCACAAGAGTATCTTGTCATTACAAGTACAAGTGTCCATTTAATGACAGTATATGTTAATTATTGCCAAATGCCCTCTGGCACTGAAAATTAACTATCATAATTGGTGAATTTCATTTGTTTAGATTTCATTTGCAGCTTTAACTCAAAAATGTCACGATTTAAATGGAAAAAAAAATCTTTCATTTCTCTTGATTCTTTCTTTCTCTTTAATTAAATTATTTCTCCTTTTTTTGTTTCTGTCCCTGATTTTGATGTTGATTTTAATCTCTAGAATGGTTAAAGTACAGGAAGAGGCCATTTAGTCCATTTGAGGCTACGCCCGTACTCTAGTCCAGCTTTTTCCCCATGTCCCAGCAAATTTCCTTTTTCCCTTTTGGATGTTTTATCTAATTTCTTTTTAAGTACCTTGCCTTTACCACACACCTGGGCAGAGTTTTCCAGATCCTAGCCATGATACATAAATATGTAAACGAGGAAAAATCTATTAATCAATTACCTCTTTAATTTGCTGTCCTCCGATTCATGATCTTTCTTTCTGCCAATAACAACAGTTTCTCCCCATTAGGTCTACTCAATCCCTCGTGCATTTGAAAACCTCCTATCAAATCTCCCCTTAACCTTCTCTATTCTCAGGGCAACCGCCTCAGCTTTTCCAATCTAGCCCTACAACTGAATTCTTTCACCCTGGAATCACTCCAATGCACCCCTTGCACCATCTCCAATGCCTGAAATGAGGTGTTCAGAATGAGAGTTGAGATGTCAGGTGCAGTTGGACCCATCATTTTGTTTTAACTTTCATGCTTTGGTGATACATCATAGAATCCCTACAGTGTGGAAACAGGCCCTTCGGCCCAACAAGTCCACACCAAACCTCAGAGCGACCCACCCAGACCCATCCCCCTCTAACTCACCTAATCTACACCTCCCTGAACACTACAGGCAATTTAGCGTGGCCAATCAACCTAACCTGTACATCTTTGGACTGTGGGAGGAAACCCACGCAAACACGGGGAGAATGTGCAAACTCCACACAGACAGTCGCCCAAGGCTGGAATCGAACCCAGGTCCCTGGCGTAGTGAGGCAGCAGTGCTAACCACTGTGCCACCATGCTGCCCTAATTCCATTACTTATGAATGCTAGGATCCTACATGCTTTTTAAACTACCTTCCCAAATTGCTCTGCCACTTGCAAAGATTTGTGCACGTATACTCCCAGACCTTTTTTTTTGTTGCTGCACCTTTTAGTATTGTACTGTTACCAGGGGGTCCATTAAAGGAGGGATCCTGCTGCCCCCCAGCAGGTCATATGGGGAGACCTGCCAGACTGGCTTCTTGTCATAGACCTTTCCAGAAACTGGTTAAAAACCTAGCAGTGGTGAAAGGAGATTATTTTGTGGGAATTAATGGCACATTTAGCAGCTGACTGTCTGATGCCACCACTGCCAGTAAAATTTGTGGTGGAGTCAGGAGACGTGTGAGTAGGTGGCCCACTGAATATACCAAGCCTACTCCCTCAACTCAAAACCACCAGCAGGATAGAAACCAATCATAGAAAAACTGCACAGTTATGGCCCCCACTGCATTGATAGAACAATTAAAATGCCTTCAAAAGGTTTTTGGAAATGACAAATCCAATCTTGCAGTTTCAGAAGTGAGACTGGGGTTGCTTAAAGGTTAACACTAAAAAGCCTCATGACATATGCTGAAAGTCTGTGACAACTCAGTCATACCTGATGTTACCAGGAATAAATCCTGCAGGTGGTTTGATTTCCCATTCAATTAAAGACACCTGATTAAGATCAACACATTGGTCTGGGCATGTAACCGTCAACTCCTGATAAACAGAACCACAATCTAAACTCAAAAGGAAGCCAAGCAGAGCATTCATTTGGAAACTTGCCTGGGCAATGATTGCAACCTACCTTGACAAATATTCCTGAATTAAATATGTGCAGTCACATTCCTTGCACACTAAATGACTTGGGTGGTAAGAGTTTAGAACTCTCTCTTCCTCAAAAGGCAATTTCAGTTTGATCAATTTAACTAAAATTCACTTTTAATCTGAAATTAATAGATTTTCAATAACCAAAGGTATTAAGGATTGTGGGGCAAAGGTTAGATCACAGATTAGCCATTATCTCATTGCATTGACAGAATAGGGTCAAGGGGCTCATTTGGTGCACCTTGCTCTTGTACTTGTTAGTTATCACATTCGTTGATCGTTCTCACATTTCCTTTCCTTTCTTCTTCACCCTAATCTTTTTGTCTTTCCCTGTTTTATCAATGCTGTTCTGATCAATAATCACCTGGACTTTGCTGCCTTGGTCCTGTTAAGTTCCAAATGCATCAGCCTACATGTTCCCTCCAAGCACTGTCACTGTTTTTAAAATTAAGACAAGAACACCTTAATTTTCATGGTGCTCAATCCACCTGGCATCTAAGTATCGACCATGGCTCAGGGTGCAGAGCTCCTACATCTTGATCAGATGGTGTGGGGTCAACACTCAACGGTGGCTGCAGGCTGCTACCCCAGTGCAGTATTGAAGGACTAAAGTGGGAGACACACTCCAAGTGTAAACTGTACATTTCCCACTCCATGCCTCAGTAACACTAGATGATGATGCAGCAGTTTTCAGTCCTCTCTAGTAGCACTGAATTCTTTCTTGTTTCCTTTCTTAGCATGTGCAACTGACAAATTGCAAATCCAGAGTTTGCTGGAGCAGGCACTTAAGATATTCACTTTAAGGCTCCCCTTCCCAAGTCCCCTTAGGAACATACAGGGATTAGTAAATAAGTGAAGCACACTTACATGCTGCAACAACATCAATGACACAATCTTCAAGGATCAATTGGCTTTTTAAAGTGCTTATATCACATTTTGTGTTGTGAAAATGTTTTGTTTTGAGGTTCCCTTCTTGCACTTTGCAATTTGTCCATCTGTTTCTTTCTCCAGAAGACCAGAGGAAGTAGGAACAGGAGAAGGATGATCAGCTCTTGGAACCTCTTCCACCATTATGGCTAATCCAACATTCCTTATGTCTACTTCCTGCCTGTCTCACTGTAACAACACATTGCATTTTCCCCCACCCCATTTCAGCTTATCAACTGCTGAAACCTTCATGTTTATTTCCTTCCAACCAATTCTCACATTGTGCAAATCCTCAGCTTCCAGGGTCAGCATGTTTTCAATTTGCTCCCCAAGCCTCTTGCACTCATCACCATTGGTTCCTCTATGCGTCTAGAAACCTCATCCCTACAACCAAACTGCTGTGCCAAAATCTCTAACTATCCCATGGTCAATTTTTGATTGATCGTGTTCTCATGAAAGGCTATGGGGTATTCTGCTGAACTGAAAGTGACATATAAATGCAGAATGATGTAAATGTCAATTCTGAAACTTACTTTCCTTTCTCATGAATAAAATTATGTCTTGTTTGATTTTTCTTTGGGGAGTCTTAACAAGGTCTATCTTAATTTCAGTTCAAATTATTTAGGACTGCAGCTCAGATCAGTAGGTCAACTAATAAATGTGACTTAAGTTTTAAAACTACATGCAACCTCTTCCTATCCACTGAAATGCCTTCAGTATTATTGGTTCTCGGACAAGACCAGTCAACACATTCCTTACTCCCTGCACTGTGTGGAATCTGGGACAAATGTTTGATCATGGCACACTGAGTAGCTCTCTGTACAGACGAGTGAGATACTGAGCAGGTATCTGTACAGTGAAATACTAATGACTATCTGCAAAGTCCAGTGAGATACTCCATGGGTGTCATCAACATTTGGTGAGATGCTGAATTGGTATCTGCACTGCCAGATGAGATGCAGAATGGCTATTTGCACTATCCAGTGTGGCAGAGATGGAAGGGCGATTATGTGTTGATCCACAGTCCATGTTGCATTGGCTGAATTTGAACAATTTTCAAAGAATCAGAACCAGAAGCAGATAGTTCAGCCTATTGCTTCCTGTCAGCTGGTAAGGGGCCGTTTTCTGGTTATTGTGTGGTTTTGTAGTTTATGGCATGACATAACATTGCGGAAAGAAGTAGCGAAATAGTTAATCAAAAAAACCAAGAGAGTTTGTTTTTTTTTAATTGAAAGTAGGTCATAACCTGCAACTGAATCAATTAACGGGACCCCTTCCAAATATTACCAGAATAATATTAGCTATACATGAGAAGAAGCTCAACCTCCACTTGCAAAAATAATTGCTAATGAGGATAATTTGTTTTGCTAAACTGGGAATGACCTGTGATTATCTTCTGAAATAATCTTTGAGTCATAACAGCAAACATAGGCGCCAGGACTTCAAAACCTGGTAGTACTGTAGAGACAGTGATTTACAAGCTGATATCCCAGTGATCCCACAGATTTTTACACGGTGATGACTGTAGGTGAAAAAGACGTAAACCACAGCTAAACTCTTCAACAGAAAAAGATGCACATCCACGGACTGAGAATAGAGACACAGACATGTTTAAAATGCAAAGACACATAGTCAAACATGTTTACACAGACTAGGAGATAGCAAGAACTGCAGATGCTGGAGTCAGAGTCAATGCAGTGTGAAGCTGGAGAGAAACAGCAGCTCAGGAAGCATCAGAGGAGCATGAAAGTCAATGTTTCGGGTTTACACCCTTTGTCAGGACTCATGATGAGGGTGTCCTGATGAAGGTGTAAACCCAAAACATCAACTTTCCAACTCCTCTGATGCTGCCTGACCTGCTGTCTTCCTCTAGTTCCACACTGTATTGGCTTGACATAAACTGGGGTTATAGACACACATACATAGAGGTTTAGTTGGAACATTCATAAAGGCGTTAGATAATCAAATAAAAAATATATGCAAGGACATGGACAGAAGTGGGTAGAATGGCACTAAGTTCATAATGCTGTTTGAATAGTTGATGCAGATAGAAAGAGCCGAATGGCCTCCTCTTGCACCCATAGCACTTCCATGACGCCATCAAAAATAAATCCACCTGAATACACACAGCCATGAATATTCAATACAAATGCAAGCAGATATATACACATACTAGATACTACAGTTAGAGGTACATACAAGGTTGGATCACTTGGAATACAGGGAGAACTAATCATCTGATAGAACTGGCTTGAGGGTAGAAGACAGAGGGTGGAGGTGGAGGGTTGCTTTTCAGATTGGAGATTTGTCACCAGCGGTGTGCTACTAGGATAGGTGCTGGTTCCACCACTTTTTGTCATTTATATAAATGATTTGAATGTGAACACGGGAGGTATGGTTAGTAAGTTTGTAGATGATACCAAAATTGGAGGTGTAGTGGACAGCGAAGAAGGTTACCTCAGAGTACAACAGGACCTTGATCAGGTGGGCCAGCGGGCCGAGGAGTGGCAGATGGAGTTTAATTTAGATAAATGTGAAGCGCTGCCTTTTGGAAAGGCAAATCAGAGCAGGATACACACACGTAATTGTAAGGTCCTGGGGAGTGTTGCTAAACAAACAGACCTTGGAGTGCAGGTTCATAGTTCCTTGAAAGTGGAGTGCCAGGTAGACATAATAGTGAAGAAGGTGTTTGGTATGCTTGCCTTTATTGGTAGTGCATTAGGTAAAGGAGTTGGGAGGCCATGTTGCAGCTGTACGAGACATTGGTTCCACCACTTTTGGAGTATTGTGGGCAATTCTGGTCTCTCGTCTATAGGGTTTTGTGAAACTAGAAAGGGTTCAGAAAAGATTTATGAGAATGTTACCAGGATTGGATGGTTTGAGCAACAGGGAGAGACTCAGTCAGCTGGGGCTATTTTCCCTGGAGCTTCAGAGGCTGAGAGGTGACCTTATGGAGGTTTATAAAATCATGAGGGGCATGGATAGGGTGAATAGACAATGTCTTTTCCCTGGGGTGGGGGAGTCCAAAACTAGAGGGCATAGGTTTAAGGTGAGCAGGGAAAGATATAGAAGGAACCTAAGGGGTAGCTTTTTCATACAGAGGGTGGTGTGTGTATGGAATGAGCTGCCACAGGAAGTGGTGGAGGCTGGTACAGTTATAACATTTAAAAGGCATCTAGATGGGTATATGAATAGGAAGGGTTTAGAGGGATATGGGCCAAATGCTGGCAAACAGGATTAGATTAATTTAGGATATCTGGTTGGCATGGATGAGTTGGACCAAAGGGTCTGTTTCTGTGTTGAGCAGCTCTATAATTTTATATATGCATAAGTATGCACATGTACACATAAAAATACGTGTATGTGTGATAAGGAAGTTAAATAATTCTGGATTCAGGAAGCAATCCATATTAAAGCACCCTCAGAAACAGAACAGCAGTGTGCATACATAGTTTGTTTCTGTTCCAAGTTCAACATTGATCCTTCCACTTCTATTTAAAAAAACATGTTGTCTGATTGTAACCATGGCAATATAAGTATTACAGTTCAACACTGGGCGGGTTGACTGGGGTAAGGTTCAAAGTGAGATTGCTGTTTTATTTCTGAGGAGAAAAACACTCTTTTCCTTGACTGGGTCCAAGTATTTATTTAGTGTTTGAGGATCAACCACAAGTGAGTCGAAGCAAGAGGGTCTTAACACAACAAGGTATGGTTTATTGCATTAGGTGCAAGATGCATTAGCTAATTAAGCACTACTACTAAGACTGTTGGGAGACAAAGATGAGACATCTGAGCCCTTTGAGATGCAAAACTACTTTCCTGATTTTCCCACCTAAGGTAATGATATCTGATTGATTTAACCGTTTTAGAACCATAACATCATAAAATATCTCCCCACAAGCTTTATTCCCCACAGATAACATTTGTACAATTTATGTATATAATTAACAGAGCAAAGAGCACAGGAACAGGCCCTTCAGCCCACCAAGACTACGCTGGCATATGATGCCTTTCTAAACTAAAAACCTCTTGCTTCTATGCAGTCTGTATCCCTCGATTCTCTGCCAATCGTATATCTGTCAAGAAATTAAATTTACCACTACCCCATTTCCTCCTAAATCTCTGACTTCACAAATTCAGACTTTCAGAATGTATTCTCTTTGGATTTGGAAGATTGGTTTGTCTTTGCCTTGAGGACTTTTGACTTTGATTCTAATCTTGACCTTGTCTAGACTATAAAGTGTTTTTCCACTACAGGATATTTTATCACTTGGATGTCCTTCATGCAAGACGTCATTCCTGATAGTCCAGGTGGTTAGTCTGTTACCATATCTTCTGAATGTCTTCACAGAAGAATTGTACCCTGCTGAATCAGATAATTGCCCAATGAAAACATTTGGGGCAGAAACAAAGTTGCTGGAAAAGCTCAGCAGGTCTGGCAGCATCTGTGAAGGAGAAAACAGAGTTAACATTTCGGGTCCGGTGACCCTCCCTCAGAACTGCCAGATGCTGCCTGACCTGCTGAGCTTTTCCAGCAACTTTGTTTTTGCTCCTGATTTACAGCATCCACAGTTCTTTCGGTTTTTATTTAGTGACAACATTTGGGGCACCTTTAATCTCATGAATTTCCACATTGGAAGACAGTTACTCAGTGGAAACAAATATTTCATTCTTTGCAGTATCCTGAATTCTGAGCCAGATGATTGATTGTGCCTTGAATCTGTAGATGTTGGTCTGGCTTCCATTTGCAGGTTGCCTCCATTTTGTGTTCGCAAACTTTTATTTTCAATCTGCTCATAGGTCAGTGTTGACATACATCGACTCTTTATTTCATCTTGTTGATTAGGTTGAACCTTTATATTTATTCACACGTTCATGGGATGTGGGCGTCGCTGGCTGGGCCAGCATTTATTAGCCATCCCTATCTTGAGAAAGTGATGGTGAGCTACGTTCTTGAACCGCTGCAGTCTATGTGCTGAAGGCAGACACACAATGCCCTTAGGAGTGAATTCCAGGATTTTGACCCAGCGACAGTGAAGGAACAGTGATATATTTCCAAGTCAGGATGGTGAGAGGCTTGGAGGGGAGCTTGCGAGGGGTGGTGTTCCCATGTATCTGCTGTGTTTTCTTCTAGGTGATAGTGTTCAGGGTTTGGAAGGTGCTGTTTAACGATCTTTGGTGAATTTTTGCAGTGCATCTTGTAGACTGTACACTCCACTGCTACTGAGTGTCGGTGATGGAGGGAGTGGATGTTGTGGATGTGATGCTGATCAAACAGGTTGCTTTGACCTCAACGATATCAAACTTGAGTGTTTTTGGAGCTCCACCTTACCTCTGTTGTTGTTGCTGTGGGCACCAGACATTTGCCCATCCTCGGTCATGTTACGGGGGAAATTGTTGCTTATTTAGCATCATGCCTGGCATTGGTACTGATAATTCTGATTTGGAAAATAAAGAATTGAAATGTTTCTCTTGAGCTCACCATCTGATGTCGAATTCAATTCAAATCTGTAATTTTTAATTCTGCATACAGTTTTGTGATCTGAATATCTTCAGTTAAAGGTTTCTCAACAA